CACTCGTTGCACCACTTCTAGCGAAATGAAAAGACATTACCCGGCTCGCTACATAAATCTGGGCGGAGGCAGTATAGGCGAGTTTGTTGGTATCTGCAATGGGAAGTTGTACTTGTGAAATTTTATTTGGTATCCTCTATTGTTCATACTGTAATTAATCACGACAAACATATCAGAATAAGCCAACGTTTAGCCAAGAAAAGTCATAAAAAGAGATATTGTTACATTTCTTACCATAGAGGTGAATTCAACATTCTCTTCTTCACAACCTCTGATATTACAGTGGGTGATACTATCTATTTTCTTTTCTAAATAGGTTGGCTCACTGACCACCACAAGTCTGCATCATAAAATCTATTGAGAGACCATGTTTGAAATCCTGTATGTCAGAGCAGCATTATTTATATCTATTGACCATTTGGGGACAGCGGAAGAAGCTGTAAACACAACATCGACATATTTATCACCGATCACTAAATCCAATATTCACTCTCCTCATTGCTCCGGTCTAGTCTAGTCTAATCTCAGAGGTAACATCTGTCTCTTTAGCCACTAAATGCTCCTCTTTGTTCACAGGCTGGTCGCCAACTGTGTCCGTGTGCTGTACGGTGGGTTGAACAAAAAAAAAAAACAGGATAGAATCCTTTCAAGTATTGATGCTGCCCGCTGCTTTGTTTTGTTTGATGTTGCAGGAACTCACGTTTGAAGCATGTGACCGGGGACAGCTAACATTAGCATTATTACTTTGGTCAGTTACTTCTAAGATCAGGATCAGCAAATGGCAGCTGTACCGCTTCTCCAAATATTTGTGTCGCAAATGAATTCTACCAATTTCTCTGAGAAAGATCAGTAGTTCACACTCGTCGTTGCCATGCAGTTATTGACGGTAAAGCCGACATATTGTAGTTTGCATCTGCATGGCACATTGAACCAATGAGGTTCATTACTCCTCTGTATGGGGGCGGTTGCATGCTGGAGTGTGGAGCAGCGGCACAGCGGGGTAACGGATCCAGACTGACAGCCAGCCTCATTACTATTAGCAGACAGGAGTTAAAGCAGGAGAGCAGGACGGGGATCCCGCCGCCAGTGTCTGACTCTGGCAAGGCTTTTTCCTACGCCGCTCCCGCTGAGCTGCAGGTCTCTTCATCCAGACACAAAGCAACTGCCGCCGTCAACATCGGCCTCAAGATTGAGACGAGTCTTTTAGCATTCGTCCCCGTTCCTGCTCTGTCTGTCCTCGTTAGCCTGCTTTTTGGGGCATCTTGGCTGAGAGCATCCGTCTGTGTTGACTTGGTGTCAAGGTGTGCAGGGCGTCTGTTTGCGTCAGGATCAAACACACGGTGACATTAAACGGGAGCACAATGTCCACACTAGAAGGGAAAAATGTCTTAAATCACTTGTGAAATCCACTTCTTCAAGCTTTTTGTTCTTGCATGGAAAGCTCAAAGGGACATTTTCAGGGATGTTGGAGATCAGACCTCCTCTGCAGCCTCTGATTTATCTCTCCATTCGTGGCAATAGGGTAAATTGCAAATTTTCTGCTGCAATCTGATACTTATTTTCTGCACACCCAGGCATCTCGTACATAAGCTTCTACGTGATAAATCGCCTCTAATTGCCTCTAAACACACTGAGGCGACAGAGGTTGACCTAGATTGCATTCGGGGTCCTGGGCGACCTCTTGTGACATCCGTGAAGAGCCGAGGACCTCTCGCCATGTCGGGGTTTAACGCTCTTGATGATGCCCCTTGACTCTTTTTAATGTGATTCACGGAGATTAACACGGACATCCTGTCACCACATAAAACCCTCTGACACAAATCTGAAGAGGCAGACGTGGTACGGGGCGATACACACGATGGAGCTCTTAGATTTCTACTCGTCTTTCGTGACTGAAATTGACTTTGGTGACATGAAATTGATTTCCATCGCGGTTTAGACACGGTCACGCGGTCCAAAAGGGAGGGTTAGAGATAAAAACACAGTCGTTTTTATTGCCCGCGAGACCAGCGGAGAAGTTGAGAAGACGTCTGAGCATGAAGCGAGAGTAATGATCTGTAGTCACGTTCATTTAGACACAAATGAGGGAAAGGCTGTAAAGCATCTGGAATGGATCCCTCGTGGGGTCCGGTATCTTGGAGACCTCTGCTGCTCTGCACAACATCGAGAGGGATGTAGTTGCCATGACGGCAGGTGGTTCAACTCCGTCTCCATAAAGAGAGAAATGTTTCACAAAGAGAGAGAGAGGGAGAGAGAGAGAGAGAGAGAGTACAGTTTGTCCCAGTGTAACAAGACGACGACGATGACGGTGCAGATTAAAAAACACCTTGAAGTAAAAAAAAAGAGATCTTATTAAATGATATCAGTGAGCGTGTTTTCTGCTCGCTGATGTAAATGCTACAGGTGTGGATTTAAGATTTTGTCACAAAGTAACAAGATTCAAGTTAGTTAGCGTTGTACTTTCTGCATCAACATTCGGCAGTGACGCTGAAACGTGCGGCAGCCCAGTCACAATATCAGACAACCAACAGCTTTGATCAGTTTTAAGGGAAAAGGAAGATGTTTGTGTATATGTGCATTTACTTTCTGGTTGTATGAGTATATCTGAGAGCGAATGTGTATCAGAATACTATATGGTTTTGCATACGGCCAAAGCCAAAACTTAAAGCTGCACTAGCTTTTATTTTTATATATATAAAATGTTAAAAGAAACGTGTATGATGGACTTGTTAGGTGACCAGAAGCACGATTCAAAATATCAATGTTGCTCTCTGTCTGCTGGATGTGTAAATAAGCAACTGTTCGACTACTTGTGATAATATGTCGATGTTGTGTTTACATCTTGCCATTAAGTGGTCAAAACCAGATCAATAGATGTTACTTTAAAGACATACACGTCAATAAAATAAACACAAACCACGAAGGACTAACTTCATCTGAGGTACTAAAAAACAAGTAGCTTATAACTGCAGCATGTGCTATATCTATATCTACGTATATGTTCTATGATCAATGGGGAACATTGAATTCAGGGTGAATGCAATATAATTGCTTTTGACTTAATTATGTGACATAGACAGAACATTGATGCAAACATGTATCGCACAAAGCAGATCTTCTGTCAGCCAAAAATTATATTTTGATCACTTCAAGTACTGAAATAAATAATTAACTGAGAAGTTGATTGCGAGAAAATCAACCGTTTTTTTGGGGTCCAGCTTCTCAAATGTGACGACTTGCTGCTTTTCTCTGTTTCATAGCTTGTTTGTGCTGATATTTTCGAGTTTTGGACTGATAGCCCACTTAACAAAACCATATATATTATACTTCAGATCATTTCAATGTCAATCAGAGTTGAACTCAACGCAACTGAGAAAGTAGAGACCAATCAAATTTCAGAGGAAGCCACTTCCTCGAGTTTCTACACTATGTGCATTACACTGAAGTATCTACAGTGTATCTGCAGGATATGGAAAACTGTTTCATTTCTCCCCTGATGAATTATGTGAGGAACACCCCGAAGCATCTGAAAGATGCCCATCCTCAACGCTGCCAGCTCCGAACTCCACACCATCTGTTACAGTTCTGCAGGCAGCAGCTTCAGATAACAGGTCAGAAATAAGCAGGTGCCGTGATAGAAGCCGAAAAACAGGACGACAGGCTGCATGTTGGCACCAATATCACTGGGGCCATCGATTGGTTTCTAAAAATGTTCCTATTTTTTTGTTGACAGTTTGGATCCAAGAAAGATGAGGCAGTAAAGGTCGGCAACTTCTCAAGTGATGGCAATTTGATGGGAGTGATATGATCAACCCCCCTCTGATTTTTCCATCAATTTCACAATTGCCTCATACATCTGAGGTGACACGCTATCTTCACACCATCGAGAGGAGATGATTGCACTGGAGGTCTGTTAAATGGCTGTTTTTGGAGACATAGTACACCAATCTTGACTGCAATGAGGACAGCTGATACGCCTGCAGGGAGGCAAAGGTGTGTGAGTTTCTCAAGCACAAAAACTCACCATATTTTCTGGTTTTCTCATGGAAACCAGGCAACACCATCACTACATATCACCATTCCTGTGTGTGTGCGTGTGTGTGTGTGTGTGTGAGAGAGTATTGAAAAGCATCTATATCCAGCTCCACATCCTCCCTCGCCACTGGAAGCTGAGGAGTGTGGAGGTGAGGGTTGCAGCTGCAGAGGCGTAGATGCACTGCAGCCCTCTGAAACGCCTCCCTGCCCACAACAACTCGGCTTCCAAAATAGCACCTGAATCCACACGGAAGGCCTGCTGCATCTGTGCTTCACTGCTGGCTCCTATTAAAGCGTAGCTCCAATATTAGCCGTGCCTAATGATCTCTGGGGCGCCTGTTGAGCTGTCAGAGCACAGGGGGGAGTGGAACATATACATACAGTATATATATATAGATAGAGAGTGAAGGAATCTGCTGTGTGGAAGCTCAGGAGACAAATGGTCAAGAGCTGAAATCATGCCAGAATCCCTGCACAACTTCAGTTCATAATTTGAAGGAGAAGAAGAAGCAGTTTACTGTTGTTAAAGGAGGCCTGCTCCTGGTTTTCCACTCGTGAACAGAATGTCTAATAGAGCTGCTTCCTGACAGCTTTGCGCACCAAAAGACAGCAGAGTTCCCAGTTTGGAGACGTGCCTGTTTCACGAAGCAGACTGAAATGTGAGATGCAGGATTGTCAGGGAGGTGAAATTCTTCTACTTACTTTTATTGTAAAGCGTTCATTTAAATCCATTGTGGCTGAGAATAAATCCCCACCGCTCTGTATATCTGCTGGATGCGAAGCGGATCTGACAAGATACAGCGTGCAATATTTTCAAGGCGGACTTGTTGCTCAGCTCAGAGGCTGATGAATCATTGTGAATAAAAGCTACGCACACACATATACACACATACAGCGAAAAGACGCACTGGTACAACAGCACATAAAGATTTTGCAGCTTGTTATATTTTCTGTTACGCACGTACCTTGTGCAGTTTCCACATCGCGCCCAGAGCTTTGACTTCATGTGTGCCGTGTTTGCCCTCCTCCAAACACTGATAGCACACCGGCATCTTACACTGCACACAGTACATGCTTAGATTCTCCAGTTCGTGCTCTGTGCAAGTGGATGTTTTGCGGGGACTCGCGCGGCGACTTATCCGCCCCTGCGCTGGCGGCACCAGGCGATGCTTGGCGAGGGGACCGCGGGGAGGATGGCACCGGAGGCGGCACGGGTCGCAGTAGAAGACGTCGCACTGCTCGCACATCACGGTGGCCTCCTTCGGACTCTTCTCGCAGAGCTGGCACTTGAGAGCGGCCGCTTTGCTCTGCTGATACCTGTCCACGACCCCCTCCAGCACCCGGTTCTTGGGGAATCCGCGGAGCCCCCGCTCGTCCAGGATGAGGCTGCGGTGACACTGCGGGCAAGTGATGCAGGAGTTGCGGGGGATCGGGGGCAGAGAGCCGGGCTGCGGCAGCAGGTGCTGTTGCGGTTGAGGTTGCAGGACGGACGGGGGGAAAACCCGCACCCCGTTCGGTGATTTTTGACAAGGGGTGGTCGGAGTGCTGACGAAGCCCCCATAGGAACCGTATCCACTGTCCGCCTCGCTGTACAAACTCATTTTATCTAAATCCAAGTAATCATAGTCAGAGACGCCGGATCCGGACGCTCGGCTGCTCTGCGGGGACTCAGCGTCGGGGGTTTGCACGAGAATATTCCGGGCACACGCCTGGCAAATGTTGTGGGTGCACGGCAGTATGATGGGCTCCCGGAAAAAAGAGCCGCACACGGGGCATTTTAACTCTTCCTCCATCTCATCCATGGCTGCTCTCGGGGAGGTGAGAGATTCCTCGGCGGCGTGCGAACACAGGCGGGAGAAGTTACAGCGGAGTGTCAGGCTGATGAGTCTGTCTGCTTGTTTGCGCGTAAACAGAGCTCCGGTCGCGTCCTACTGCGATTCTCACTGCCAGTGCAACCTTGACCAAGAGGAAAAGGCATCGCACTGAACCATCACACGCGTCTTCACCAATAGGCGACCAGCATCGGCTCAGAAAGGGCTGCCATTGGATAACCAGTGGATTCCGAACAACCATTGGATGACTCAGCTGTCAGTGAGGAGAAGTTAATGAGCTTTACAGCGAGATGTATCAACAGATATAATGTCCTAGACATTACTGAACATGTAACCTAATTGTTTAAGGGATTATAAGGAGAACAATGCGAGACTATCCGTTCAATGCAGGGCAATTAATACAATGTGATCATATAATAACTCATTTATATCAGTTATATGACGACAACCACAGACAACAGTGGGATGTTCTCTTTAAGATGATTAGTCCATTGACTTATTAAGAAAGAACAGTTGTTTACAACAACAATGTAAACATATTCAGTTATAAGCTCAAACTGTTACTAAAGAAATAATATATCTTGATGATCTGTATGAAAAGTAAAATCACTCATGATTATATATTTTATTATTTTTACTGACACATTAAAGTGATTTATACAGGTAATTCGTCCATGGCAATGCATCTGTTTGTTTTTTAGGCTCATCACATGTTTTATGCCAAATCTTACTCTGCAAAGTCACTTGTACCGCAGTAGTGCTAATGACATGTTGTATTAGCATCCTACAGTATTGATTTATCAGTTGGTTGTTTTGTCTATAGGATGTCTAAAAATAATGCAAAATGTCCAACACAAGCTCAAAGCCCAGGCTTTATGAACTTAATCATACATTTAAATAAACAAGAGAGAAATTAGCAGCAAATCTTCATATTTGGAGCCAGTGTGTGTTTGACATTTAGTTTGATGAATGACTTAATGAGTTTTCTATTTTCAAAACTGACAAATGTTTTGCATTTCAGCATTTTAGAGCTGTCAAATATACATTGTAGTAAAGAACATGCAGTAAAGTATTAAAGTACAAGTACTTTATGTACCGATACGCAACTATACTTTCCACATGATTTTTTCTGACTGACAAACACAGACGATCTTAAGATTTCTTAAGCCAGGATCTGAATAATAAAACCCGTGCAGCTTTGCAGAGCGGCTGTAGGCCTACCGTATAAACTTGCAGGATTTGGTTCATTTGTTATTTGCAAAGCTTCTCCTCTCAGCTGCTGAAAGAGCAAAGATCACTCCTGGGAGATTGAAAACATGGAAACTGACACCTTGTGAGATAAGATAAAGCAGCAGCTCTCAAAAGAGGGCTTTCTTTCAGTATCCAGAGCCTCTCCATTTATGTGGCCAAATACCTCCGTCTTCTCCGAGACGTCCATGGCAACGTGAGCTCCCAGCGAGGCTGTTGACGGGGAAATGAAATGAAATAATCCCATTTTACGGAAGGCTTTCTCAGACCTACAGAGGGCAACGTGGGGCCACTCAGTGTGATACATTTGCATATTTGTGTAGAGAATGGGTAGATCATTAAAATAGACGTCTTTGTCTCATGAAGATAATGACTCAGCAATGTGTCCAATGCATCACATTGTAGGCTGACTGATAAACATATCAAAGTGGAAACGTGAATAATCTCATTGAGATCCATAATATTTAAACACACATTTATATTTATTCATAGCATGATCCTCGGGTATGCATTCATATTTCCACCATCATTAGATAATAATCTAAACTCAAGTTGTGCTCCTGATTCTCATTTCTATAACATAATAAAGATTTAGGTGTTAAATTATCAGAGCCTCTGTGCAGACGATGCTTCTGCTCCTAATTCTGTTAAGATTTGAGGAAATATATAACAAATGGCAAGTTTTATCCATGTAAATATTCCCCCAGATTTAACCAAATACAGCGTTGATCCAAACCAAATCTTTGTAACCAGACCATCAGCTATTTTTGGATGCGTGCTTGCTGCCGCCTCCAGCATGATGACATTGTTCTCTGCAATCTCCTCAGTTTGGGGCCACACTGCATCTTCCTGTTTATCGCCTTCGAGTAGAAAAGTGGCCAATTCTACTGAATCTGTATTTCATCTTTTATTTTTGTGTAAGTGCCAACTCTCTCCTGCTGCCAGGGCAGACACACCAGGCGGCTCTGAGTGGAAAATCTTCACAGATTTCTTTTTACTTTTCCGTGATCACGTCCCGGAATGCTCCTGAAGTCTGTGATTAAGTTGTTTTTTGGTGACCCGTTGTGCACTAACATAGAAGAGGCGTCATGAGGACAAATGTAAAAGAGCTGCTGATTAGGCAACAGTATCAGCAAACACATAAAGTCAAATTAAAGGAAGACTTAACTGGCTATACTTTTAAGAGGGGCTTATATTCTTTATATTCACATAATGCAGTTTATAATGATAATGTTAAAGGGCATTTACTCAAAGTAATTTTTTCCGCAGAAGTATAAATTACTTTAAATTTGCAGACATATCTGCTCTTGAAATGCTCATGAAGGCGTCACAAAAACCTTCAATACCTGGATCTCTTACACACCAGAGGGAAAACAATGCCCCGTTGTCAGTTAAAGGGGTATTCAACTCACAGTTCGATCGTCCCGCCAAGAGCTCACGTGATTTATTGGAGTCCTCCCCTCCATCGATAAGGGATCAAGTCTCCTTTGTGTGTTGCACTGAGTCTATTAACTCTCGTCAGCACAGACTTCCTCTGCAGCCCAAGAGGCATCAGGCCGCTTGTGTAAAGAAGTGCACAGACTGCAGGAGCTTTGCAGCACACAACTCAGGCTAGATATGAATCTCTACGGGACACAGCGCTGATATCGCCAAGATATGAATAGAAAAGCACTTTTGTGTCTGAGCTCTGGCTTAAGAAAAGTTCTGTAACTCTTTTAATGACGAAGCTAGTTTGGAGATTGGATGGTTATACTGGCTCCCAAATGACATAGTGAAGGAAACGTACTTTCTAGACAAGCTCTGATGTTTCTTTTGTTTTGATTTAACGATAAAGAAGTTGAACTGAAATAGCTTTTTAGTAAATGAGAACTGTCAGCAGCATCCTGCTACGAATGCATGTTAACTCTTTGCAGAAAAGGTTTTTACGTCTTCTCACTTTCTGCAATATCTGAGCATGGCAATAAAGTGTGGTTAAAGTTTATGACAAATGAAAGTCCTTCAAATGAAATGACAACAAACGTTTTTTGTTGATGTCCTTTAGAACGACACATAGAGGTGTTTTCTGAGCTGATGCCTGTATTAACAGGACAACATCATGTCTCTGCTACTCAAAACTGTTACGAAATCACTTCCGCTAGAGGTCTTTGTCACTTGAACGTAAACGTTTGTCTTTGTTGAAAAGAATGATGCTGTCGCTCTTCTTTGGAGGACAGTCTCCATGAATGAAATATGATTGAGGATCTGGTTGGGAAACTGAACCACTTGGTTAAGATTTGAGAAAGATCACAGATATGGTTAACAAACATGGAAATGGTGGCAGTTCTGTGGTGTCCTGCATGTCAGAGTTGCTAAACGTCCATCCTACACAACTTTACTGTTTGCCACTAGGTCACACCTCGCACTGGACATAAATCGTGATGTGCAGAATCGTCCGATACGGACATAATCCCCAGGGATATTGGGCTTTTTATATAGCTCATTCGCAGTTGACAGAGTTCATGGCTTTATCTAACCTTCAGAAAGTAGTGAATCAAACTTATGAAAGCGCTGCCTGAACATCACTTGCTCATTCACCTCCAGTAACCTCTCCTTATACAGTTCTCACATTATCCCCATCTGCTATTACGGCTCTCTGTAGCAGAACGAGCAACTTGGCTAACAAAAGCCCAAAGTCACTCTGCTGACTTCCTGACAGAATCTCACACAACCTCAAATGAACTCGTTTATGGATTCAGCACCATCTGTGCCCTTCACAGTGACCTGAAATATGCATTTTTTCTGATGCAATATTTGTAAATTAGGCCTTCAGGGAGAAATTGGGAGAGGTGCCTCGTATTTTGTGATTATTATTTCTAAACGATAAATGATAGCAAACACAACATTGAGATGTTGTTTTGTTGCTGTGGTTGTGGTTGTTAAAGGGTCATTTTCATCTCAAGATGGATATGTATCCTGAAGACAGAAGGTAAAGAGAGTGAATGTAAAAGAGATGTTTCACAAACATGGCCTAAAGGAAAACAAAGGTCACATGGGTGTTTTGCAGTCGTACAGCTAGTTGTGTATTTGTTAAAAAAAACTTCTTGAATTCTCAATTTGTACAGAAGATTTTTCAGTCCTTCATTTTTTTTCCTCAGAACTCTGATGCAAGTAAAATAAAAATAGAATCAGGGACCACAATATAGATTTGTTTGTTCTTTTGGGGAATGCACAAAACAAATTTGAAATTCTTACAGCCAAGACATGCAGAACAACTGATATGAGGAATGACTGATCGAGTGAAAGAAAGTAGTGCATTAGCCTGTTTGTTCATCTTCTTGCATGCTGAGTTTAAGTATTGCAGTCTTCTGCAGGGAATCAGCACGAGAGGAATGCCATAATGATGTGTTTCTTAGCCACGGACTTGGATTGCCTCTCAGTGCCGTGTTGTCAGTGAAGATACAACGGCCACAGCAGCTGAAACTGCAACTGAAATACATTTAAGCGCTCCATTGTGTGCTGGGTGGCTCTTTCTCTTTCTCTCTGCACACAGCCTTCCTATAACAGGCCAGGGTCAGAGTTATCGTGAATTCTTACAAAACAAGCAACAGAACATGCTCTGTTGCATCGCTAATAGAGAGCATTAACAAAAGTGCAATAGTCACTTTACTGTATGTGTGGGCTGCCTGAATTGAGAAGGGAAAGGCCTCCATGTGCAGCATCACGTTCAGGCTCTGCAGCGAATTTGTGCTGCAGTTAATAGCCTAATGATTTTTATTTTTATTTTTTATAAGTAGGATGGGGATTTGCTACTAAAACGCTAGGCTATAAACCACAACCTGGTCTGTGTGGTGATGTTTTAGTCTCATTTAGCCACTTGTTAGCAACCGTCCTTTTTCAGACACGTAGCA